AAAAAAAAAAATCAAAAGTTTCAGACCAAATAATGAGCTAGAAAGTTTATAAAACAAAATTTCGAAAGGTAGTAAAACAAGTAAATTATCTACCTGAATACGTCCAGTCCATATACTACTTGAAACAGGATTATCAGTGGCAAAATTACTTGCTTCTAAACCAATCTGAAACAAAGTGCTTAGAAAAGAGAATCCAAATAATAAGTTTTGCCTAAATTTTTTTGTGCAACCTGCGTGATTACCTCGCAGAAATTTAAAAAAGACAAGAAGAACTCTGTATGGAGACATGTTCGATTCTTTGGCACTAGCATAAGACCGTACGAATCAAATTCTTCTTGTTCCCTGCGACCCCGTAACCAGTCCTTCAGATAACCAAAATATCTAAAAAAACTTCTTATCTTATATGCAAAAGTTATATGGCAAAAGCTGATCTGATTATTTAAACAATTTACGGAACACCCTTGGAGAACAGTTTCTGAAACTTTTCTTTCAAGTAATCCAAAAAAAATAAAAAAAGTAACTAACAACACCGCCGTTTCGTCCCCCAGAATATTCCTCATTTGCTGCTGCATCTGCATTAAGCTTATTTCTTTACTATGAGCTTCATCCTCCTCGTTTTCATACACTCTTTTGCTCATTGTTCAAGAATACATTTCTTTAGCCCACTCAGCCGGTTACAATTCAGTATAAACCGGTTTAACAGCGAAGTCTAAATGAAGGTTTCAATAAACATATGGAAATTGAAGAAATAAAAGAAAATGTGTACGCAGCGACCGTATCACATGATATTAATTAACAAGTCGGATAACTTTACAGCTTGTATAATTCTACTGAGCGTCATCGCAAGCCTTCCGAAACAGTGCCTCAGCAGTGATTTAAGAAATCTTATCCTGCAAGAGCACTGTTGTCAAGATTCGTTAAACCTTCTAACTTTAACGATGCAGCTTTTAAAGCTCTTAGAAAATGGTTTAGTTATCTCGCCAGGTTCAAAAGAGGACCTTTAGATGTAAGGTTTTAAGATGATTAATAGTAGTTACAAGTGAGTGACTTCGCGAATAAATTCGTTAAATATAATTAATGGATGAATTTTTGCAGTGTGACAAAGGTAAAAATGTTGGATTGTACCAAAGCTATCCGCAGTTTCCAGAGAGCTTGTCAACAGCGCAGCCATCTAAATAACTCTACTGCATGCTATAACTCAAAGCCTTTGCCTTGACTGTGGAATCTAGCAAACCGCTGAGTAACTGTTACTGTTCAACGGCTCTTTACTGCATCCATAGATTAGAGTTCTCATTTTTGAATTCTTGCTCGCAGCATCTAAGAAAGAAATTGCTCTTGAAAAGAGTTTTGAAGGTGATATACAGTGCAGGCCCAAAAAAGTGCGAACACCTTTACTGCAACTATTTTTCTAAGTTTTCAAGGAAGTCATCGGCTCTTCTTCCAGGCAGCTGTTACCCTCCTGTTAGAATTCCAATGCACTAAAAGTTTAAAAAGGATTCTTTTCGAGG